GAGAAAAGTTATGAATATTTTTCCTTGAAATTTTCGGGAACTCTAGGCGATATTGCCAACAAAATTAACTGAAAAATCGGAAGAGAAATATTCATAAATTTACCAGGAAATTCGTGTGTTATCAAAGGAAATCTCGCAACGCCTGAAGGTTCAAACGGCGTTTTTCCATAGCACGGCTGTAATGCCGACCAGAGAGGACAGAGACTAATGTGGATAGGTGGAAGGACATACGGTCAATTCTTCTTTTGAAGTCACGAAATTTGTCGGCGCAATGTTTTTTTCCATTTGAAATGGAATTGGATTTCTAGCGACATTACTAGAAAGTTATAATATCAGCTGAAATTTAGATGTATCACAGAAAAATTCAGGTATATTATCATATTTTAGGCACTTTATGCGAAAATGTATCGAAACAAAAATGTGCAATAGCCGACATTGAATTAGAGGCACTGGATGCGAAAAGGGCACTTCTTGGTTTCAGTGTTTCAGAGTCTCCTCTAATATTTCATTCGTAGTTAGGAGTGTGAATGCATCCATTTCACTAAGATTTTACTCAATATTCTTCATGACTTTACAATTTTCCATGAAGAGAATTCTGGAAAAATTTCCCATTAAATTCTTCTCCAAGGGATTAATTAGCAACTGAGATTTTGAAAGACCACAATCTAGAAGTACCCTTTTCGCATCCAGTGCCTCTACCTGCATGACCTCTGAAAGGACCATGCCGATGCAGGCTAAGGAATGAAACCGCTTATCGACAAACTGACGATTTTACAGGACGAAGAAAAAATTTGGCCATTTTTGTAATTGCATGGCTATTTGCAGTTTTTTACACCACTCAGCGCCATTGCCACGCTCATTCCGACGCGGAATTGGAAAAAACTTAAGGCATGAGCTTGCGTTTTTATACTGTACCTAGAACGCGGCAAAGTCGCTTTAACTCATTTTCGCCAAAATTTTAACTCAGACGGCATATGTCAACGTGGGGTTACGAGAGGCTAAAGCCTCGACACACAGTTTCCAATGATTGAATGTCCAACGCAAGGTTTCTTTTTAAACGTTTTACTGAATGTAAAATACTCAAGTTATGAAAACTAAAACAAGTAATTTACGTCGAATGATATCGGGTTCGACCATGGTTCAACCGAGCCCAATTTTGCCTTTTTTATATTTTTAATAAGGCCTATAATAAACACTCACACACCTTAAAGGCCTCGTTTTTTCTGTATTAATTTGTCTGAATGTTTTTCCTCAATATGCCTATTGAGAGTTGTTAACGACGAGTAAGGGAACCCATCGTTACAAAACTCGCATGTCGTTTTGCCGTCGTGAAACGCTTCGTGTCTTTGTAGATCATAACCCCTGTCGAATGATTTGCTGCACTTGTCGCAAGGATACTTCTTGGTCCTTCCCGGTTCGAGTTTTCCTCTCTTCCCTGAAAAAAGAAACACAGGGGACCGTCCATAAATTACGTGACCCACGTATGGGTGGGGTGGGTGTGAGGGGGTGAGGGGCCTAGCGGTGGATGAAGGTGTGTGACGGAAAGGGAGAAAGGTGTCAAGTCAAGGATGACTTAAGCTTTCTTGAAGGCAAAATAACTGAATAAGCTTACTTGAAAGAGGGGGATTTTTTCCTCTTCTTTTTCGATTTTTCAATAAATAATTATAGTTTTGCTCAAAACAATAAAGATTGCGTTGTTTACTTATCCAGTTTGTAATATATCGTGGCCTTAATTCTTTTCCTTTTTAAAAGAACACAACATATACTTAATACTCAATTAAAATCATTAATCATGTTCTTAATGCTGCAGACTAAGTATATTTACTGACTCTTATCGATTTTCTGCGTTTTCTTCTTAAAGGGAAGGGGGGGGGGCGGTACGCTCAGGATGACGTAACTTTTAGGGTAGGTCTAGCAGTATATGACGGTGAGAGAGAGAGGGGTCGAAAAATTGAAAAAAATGCATGACGTATTTTATGGACGGCCCCTGATCTATTTCGACGCCTGTCTTTTCTTTAACATGGGAGTAGAATATAATCTGATGATGATATGATGATAATCTGATGATGATATAATGATGATCCGATGACGATTAATTAGTGGATCGAGTTCAACAGGAACGCACCAAGTCACGTCAAATTTGAACGGAGAAATAGAGGTTTGAAGTTTTATTCTTCCTTAAGACACAATGATAAAGATAATGTTTAACGCTATTTCATTTCTATAATATTTTTTCTTGACTTTGAATTTTTGACATACCTAGGAAACTTTAGGGCTCGTTGAATTCTAAGCTACTTTCAACCGGACTTATTTCTTTCCAAAATAGAAATAATTAATAAAAAATAAAATAAGTAATGAAATACCAAAAATATTGTCGGCCACCTGTGGTGTAGTGGTTGTAGCGCTTGCTCTGTGATGGGGAGATCCCGGGTTCGATTCCCGGCCAGGTGACCCGAGTTTGATGGTCTCAAACAACGATTATCTGGGGCTGGCTTACGTAGGGACGGCGGAAGAATGAGACATCAGGGATGGTAAAGCGCAAGATTATCTCTCGTGGGATATTTCAAGTGGAAAAAAAAAGAAGAAGAAAAAATGCGACCTGTTGCGTCTCTGGTCAACTTGGTCCAAGTGATGAGTGATTGCATTTTATGTAAAATTCGAGAGTCTCACATGTACTATGGTCCGTTCTCATGTGTTCCGCAAGTTGTTCCTGTGAATAATAAGATCTCTTGCATAGCGCACAGGTTGTCTTTCCTCCGTGGGATGGTATGTGGTCCCTTGCAATCCTTTCAGTGGTGTACAGCTTCCCGCATTCGGGAACGGGACACTTGAATTTGTCGCCCACTTTTTCGATTATCCATGATCGGGTTCTTTCTGGAACCCTTGGAAACATAATTGATTTCGCAATTTTATGAGCTGCGAGATCTGTGAACTTGTGAACGGGAGTGCTCGGCAACTTAAAACTCTTACAATAGTATCGTGAGCTGAAGGGCTGCGGATTTTTGGGATAAAATCGATTCAAGTCAAATTGATTCAGGTGTATAGATCGATTTTTCTGAATATCAATTCTTAACTATCGACAGATCGTGAAAAAACAGGAGAGGATGATCTCTGAAAACCGCAGGGAGTTCCACTTTTTTTTAACTCAAAATGTCGTAACTTATCGTCTATCTCTGACCAAAGGAGTTGATCTTCGCCTCAATCGATAGCTTTCGAGCTATTATCTGAAATAAAACCAAGATCAAGTCTTTTGCTAGTTTCGGATTTGAATTAAAGAACCATCGAGGTAGGCGCGTTCTGAACAGCCTGTGTATTTCGATCACTGTGTCCTATAAACGGGCCACATTTTGCAATAAGGAACTGCTATCTGCGGGCCGATTATTGAAATTGATGGACAAAGCTTTAGACAAAAAAGGCATAGGGGGTATGAAGCAATCCTATCGGTTGAAATGGGTGGTTCTCATAGGTTAAGGGGGAAAATGATAGACTAACTGTCGGGTCTCTCGTGGGTTGCCGTTAGTTAGTCTATTACCTACCTCCTTTGTCGATTGCAACCACCCGCTTCTACCAATAGGATCCCTCAAACTCCTTTTTGTCTTCTTTGTCTATTGTTTTGTCTATCAATTTCAATAATCAGCCTGCAGGACGTATTTATGCTTTAAGAAGCCATGCCGCACGCTAACCCTCTAACGCAGTATCCCTTTCAGCATTAATAAGTCCCTTTCCGCTTCATCTATAATTAAATCACGCATGTGCGTGGGGAAACAAACGACACTTGTATTGTTTCTAAAACGAGGCAGGAATAGTGGTCCCATATTCCAAAATGCAGTCCATATTCAAAAACGCTAAAATACTAAACCAACGATATATCATATTATTCCCGGCATCGTACCGTGGGATCATCTAACGGGTTTCTTGCAGATGCTCGCCACAGTGGAAATATGAATTATGACGAAAGGAAAATGGCTTATCTATACTATAAGCTCCGAGACGTCCTATCCTGTAATGATTAGTTCCAGTGTTCTACCGGGCTGACTTTCATGATTTTTGCAGCTATCGACAGGCAATCGTCCCTAGATGAGCCCGCTTTATTCAGATTTGGAAAATATGACGCAGGTTTTTTTATGTTGCGTGGTAAAGTTGCGAATTCTCCCATTTAAACAATGTAAATTTTTATCTGGAAACAATGGACTACTAGACAAGGTACGAATTTCAGCATTCTGATACATGTTTCGTAACAAAAAGTTCACGCAGAACACGATGCGCACAACAAAAATTACCGAAATCAACTCCTTACGAAGATATTCAATGATTCCTGGTGCGTGAATTCAAACCACTCGCTCATGAAAACTCAATTGTCTGTGTGATTCACATCGCGAGTTGGGTTCAGTAATTTTCGTTGTGCGAATCGTGTTCTGCGTGCAATCCTGGTTAGGGAACATGTATCAGATTGTTTAAATTCGCACCATGTCTAGTGGTCCAGTGGGAAATTCCAAGAGGAGAGAATTGGAGGTCTTCCCGTTTTGGGTATCAATTTTAATAAGCAGCCTGCTGGTTTTACAAATCCACGCCCACGCAAAACTAAACGACCACCATCGTGCGGTATTTGCCACAATCTCTCCATTAAAAACAATAAATATCAGTTCTTTTACTTTCGGGGAATGGGGGTTTAATTACAAACAAATTAACCCGGCCTGATTACTGTTTTTTTAGCAAAATTTCTCCGGTAAGTCCAGTCGAAACCACCGTGCTCTTGCAGGACCTCCATTTGGGTGGACCCGAGAGCTCTTGCACAATTTTTAGTGCATCAAGTCCCTAAAACCGGGTAACAATAACACAAGTCACTATACTAACAAGATTACCGTGACCTCGTCCTTGTCCTAGTCCTTGTCCTTGTCCTTGTCCCAGTCCTTGTCCTTGTCCTTGTCCTTGTCCTTGTCCTTGTCCTTGTCCTTGTCCTTGTCCTTGTCCATGTCCTTGTCCTTGTCCTTGTCCTTGTCCTAGTCCTTGTCCTTGTCCTTGACTCTGAACTTGTGCTTTTCCTTTTCCTTGTTCTTGTGCTTTTCCTTTTCCTTGTTCTTGTGCTTTTCCTTTTCCTTGTTCTTGTGCTTTTCCTTTTCTTTTTCCTTTTCCTTGTCCTTTTCCTTGTCCTTGTCCTTTTCCTTGTCCTTCTCCTTTTCCTTCTCCTTGTCCCTAACCACCCGCATCAGAGAGGCTTGGAATACCGAATCTTGCAATCCCTAACACGCCAACTCCAGACCCACTTCGACTGACCGCCGGGATCGCAGATGATTGCTCTCGACTTTGACCTGAACCACTTGCAGAAGGGAGGCCTGAGAGGACTGCGGGCCGATTATTGAAATTGATAGACAAGGCGACAGACAGAAAAGACATAGGGAGTATGGAGCTATCCTATTGGTTGAAATGGGTGGCTCCCATAGCTAGACTAAGGGAGAAAATGATGGACTAACCATCGGGTCCCTTGTGGGTTGCCGTCACTGCCGTCTATTACCTACCTCCTTTGTTCATTGCAACCACCCGCTTCCATCAATGGAATCCCTCCATATCTCCTTTGTCTATAGCTTTGTCTATCAATTTCACTCAAGTAATTAAAAGTACGGAAATTTGTAACTGTGTAAGGAAGGTATACATATTTTCATTGCACGTTAGGAGAACCTCTTTGTACGGGCGACTAATATGTGCACTGAAGAAAAATACTCGGGCTACAGAAGCCTTACTCACAGGCTATATATTTATGTAGACGTACCGTTCGCTCCGGGTCAAGAGGCCGAAAGTTTCGGGTGTAGCACCCGTTGCCACAGCTTCTGAGCGCGGAGCAGTCGAAACTACGGCTTCGGCACCGGGAGCTTCCGGACTCTGAGCCCGGAACGGACGGTATGTCTATGTAGCCCGGAACGGACGGTATGTCTATGTAGCCCGGAACGGACGGTATGTCTATGTAGCCCGGAACGGACGGTATGTCTATGTAGCCTGCAAGTCCGTCTTTGCACGAAGTAGTCTTATGAAGGTGAAAATGAATAACCTGAGGATTTTGGAGTTTGACCAGAATATCGAGGTCCGGGATTAGACTTGGTTATATCAGAGGATGTGAGACGACTCCAACTCCATGGTCTCTTCCTGGAGTCCTGTGTCCCTTCGCCCGAGATTTGGGCGCTTCACGGGCAGCCGCTCATAAAGCTGTACCTGCCGCCGGTGTAGGCGGCAGGGGCGGAGGCAGAGGCGGGGGCGGGGACGACTGCGGACTCCTTAGGGAGGTCCGGTGCGCAGTCCTCGAAGGTTCTGTAGGCCCCCGAAGGCGCGTAGGCTCCCGAAGACGAGTAGGCTCCCGAAGGAGGGTTCGGAACGTAGGCTGCGCATACGTAAGTTTGTGTTGAAGTGTTGGGGTTCGAAAGGAGGTAACACCCAGCCGCGCTCCAATTGGGGCAGACATTGTATCCGCTCATGTCAAGTTTGGCGAAGGCCTGGCGGCACGCCTCTCCGGCCCCCGGCTTGAGAGCCCGGCAAAGTCCGCTCTGTTCCTGATGAGCGTCAAGGGCCGTCAGAAACTGCTCCGCAGCTTCCATCTGCAAATTCCTTGAATGTCAAGAATAAGTCGCTAAACCATGAACGCGAATCTTTACTAGCGAATGGACCAGTTGCGCTGGTTACAGAACAGGATGTCTACAAGTCTGGAAATAGTACTGATTATTTTAGGGCGGTCCGGAAGTACTGAGAAAGTGAGGAAATTCGGCAAGAGGTCCGAAATTTTTTTCATTTTCCTGAATTTTTTCGAATTTCGTCATATCGTCGCCTACCGCGCATAGGGGCGCAACCGCAGATCTTGACATTTTGAGTTATTAGTTGATCATTATGTATCGAAAGGTGCTCTTTCGATCTAGCCCACTATGAAAGCTCAAATCCTAATAGTTTTTGAGTTATTAAGCAAAAACATAAAGACGTATCTCCATTTCGCTCTCCTCGTGAGCGCGCATAGAGGCGTATCAGTGAGAGACGGGACGGCTCCGCTGTTACGCCTGTATGCGCGGCGCTACTTGAGCCCTTCATAATGAAGGTACTGAAAAAGCACTGAATTTTTGGTAACGTTGCATGGTGGCAACGATCATGGTGTCAACAAACCAAAAATCTGATCATGGAGTCAACGATTGTTGACGTCGTGCTTAGGCAGTAAAACGCAAAAATGGGCCCTGAGCATGGTGTCAACGATCACGGTGTCAACAAACAGAAACATATCTTCCTTATGAGTAAAATTAAAAAATTAAGTGTACAGGAGAGATCTGGGTCGCGTACAGTTGGATAAGGTTAGGTTAGGTCGGGACATGTACGGTTAGATTAAGTAGGCAAGGTTAAAGTTATGTGGGGTAAGGTCGGGGAAAGTTAAGCCCTGAGAAAGTGGTGTAGGTCTTGTAAGGTGAAGTTGGGTAAGGTTCGGTCAGGTTAGAGTAATAACACAAGAAAAACCAAGACTTGAAATTTGAAAGATGTTATTGAGGCAAGTTTGAAGTTTCGTTGACGGCGTGATCGTTGACACCGTGATCATTTTTCATACGAGTCAGAATTTTTTATTTTTGGATGATCATGGTGTCAACAAAAACTTGGAAAAACTGTTTTTTGACTCCATGATAGTTGATACCATGCTACGTAATTTCTTGAGAATGTAGTGAACATGTACTGTAAAAGTACTGCTTTTTGGCCAGCCTGTTTTAGTAGACACCCTGTATAGAATCTTGTTTTGATGCTTGATTCTTGTAGATCAGCTAAAAGTAATCTGATCTGTTCAAACAGCAACTTTCTATTTTGGATATTAACCGAGATATTGCGCTTTGAATAATTAGAGAGATCCTGTTTGAACGGATCTCATTATTTTTAGATGGTCTACAAGAATTTTGCGTCCAAACACGATTCTTTGACCAGCGCAACTAACCCGTTCATTCTTCAGGATGTTAATGACACTATTAAAAATCAATTATTTACTCTGAGTGAATAGCCGGCGTGAAAAAAAAATCCAGCACGAATTTCGCGCCGTACTCTGAGTGACTAGATCAGCGTGTGAATATCACCAACGACGGACGAATTTGTTGAGGTACCTCAAGTAGGGTGAAGCTGAAGTCAGGGCCTCCTAGTATGTGCGCCGAACTCAGAAACCGAGGAATACGCAGATCGAATTGCGCAACTTTTCCGCAAATTTAAAACGCTCAGGTTTCGCGCCGAACCGAATGATGTCATCTGGCATCAATCACAAGCGACCACGGGCATCTACGACTTCCGTCAAATGTCTTTCTCCTCCTCGTACATGAAAAAAATAGAAAAGTCGAAACTATATTTTCAAAACCAAAGAATCGAATCTTATTCATGATTCTGACGTTATCAAGCAACAATGCCACATCGAAGTACGTTTTATTTTAATAAACATCAGTGGAAAATGAGAGGAGATAGCGATTCAACTGCTGTAGTACATTGTTTTCTTGCTCAGATTCTCCGAAAATGTTTTCCCTGTGTATACGTCGCCTTGATGAAGAGGAAATGGGAGGATTTAATTTGTTTTTTCTTTTTCATTGTTTCAGGTAATTACAACTTCCATTTTCTACCGATTTCTGGTGTCTTGGTCTTGGGGTGATAAGATGTCTTAGTGCGAGAGAGAGATTCTGACCGAAGACAACACAAGACGAATAAACAGAGTACAGAAACCTAATCAGGTCTGTATTCATGCGGCACAATGTTTTGTTGGGGTTTGCATGAAATGTACTTTTGAGTTGATTAGAATAATTTAATGCTCGGTTTTTTCATGAATTAATAATTTTACCAATCAGACGGCATTGGCATTGTACAGCAGCAGTCAGTAGATTTTCCTCTATTTTCCGTCTACAAGTCCGGAATTAGTACTGATTTCTTAAGAGCGATCCGGAAGGACTGAAAAAGTGCGGGAATTTGACAAGAATGTCCGGAATTCATTTCATTTTTTTGTCATTTTAGTCGCACACTGAGTGAGGAATTCAAATGTTTGACATTTTTCGAATTTCATTAAATGGAGGTGCTGAAAAAGCACTGAATTTTTCTGATGAAGCACTGAATTTCTTGGGGATGTATTGAATAGATACTGTTAAAGTAGTGATTCTTAGCTGAAGCCTGTTTTAGTAGACACTCTGTCTGTAAATTGGAGGATCTGTTTAATACTGAAATAAAATTTGTCAGTTTGTCGCTCCACTTACGAAAAAGCGTAACTACATCACAATGTTGCAGCATTTCTATTCTTTAATTGCATTATTACCAGGAAAATCTTGAGCATTTTTAACTGAAAATTTCACTGATTATTCATCTGATCTCGAGCGAAAATCAGACCAATTTTGTACAAAAATTGCACAGACACAACCTTTAGAAAAATTGAATTGTTTTAGTCAAGTTTGCAACCTTGGAATGAAGTTACGTTCCTCCGTCCGAGAAACGACAAATTGGACTTGGAAACATTACTACCGCCGTGCTTGAGGAAAACGCCGCATGAGCCATCAGGCGTTGCCAAATTTCCTTTGACAAATCAAGCATTTTACGGAAAATTTGTAAATATTTGCCCTCCGATTTTTAATATGATTTCGCTCGTCATTTGCTCTAAAAAGTCTGAAAATTTCAAAGAAAAATATTCTTAACTCTCCTAAGGAATAAACATTTTATCGGAGGAAATTTGGCAACTCTCGAATGTTACATTAGCAAGAAACTTTCCTTAGCACGGCAGAATACTAGGCTATTAAAAAGTTGTTAAACTTTTTACTTATCGCTTCCTGAAAATGGTAGAGGAACGAAGAGAAAATTAGCACTGTATACCAAACTGAAATTAACGCGTTGGGCCTCATTCTTGAGAAGATTTCCCGCCAGCAAGTGACGAGAGACTCAGCCGCGGAATGAGACGTTAATAGGATCGCACTGGATAACCAGCCAAGTGATGACGAGGAGTTTTGTATGAATTCTATGACAAGGGAAGCAAGAGAGTTTTTTTTTTTTTTGGCGTGGCCCACGCCACTCTGTCATGCTTCTGACGACTTTTTTCGGTTTTCCTCCCAGAAAATAAAATGGGCCGGATCGAACACTTTGAAACAAAGGAATCGAGAACCGTGCTCTTAGTCATCAGTATATTTTCAGAGCCCTTTCGGTTGCGATGAAAGAAAGAGAGGAATTTTCCGAGTCAACTAGCGCCCTGGTAAAAGGACTAAGCCAGTATGACTTTAAATCTGCGCGTGTGTCTATATTCATGGCGAAAAAACCAGGCAGATATAACCCATCGTTGTCGTAAACTTGTAGTCTAGTTTTCCACTTCAATGGATCTGAAATAGAATCACGAAAAAAAAAATGGAGTGTGCCTCTGTCGGAGTCTGTTGACGGCCGGTGACTTTATCACACCAGAAAATAAGTCACTCACATCAAGCACGGACTCTTTTGATTCAAATGATTTCATTCTGGACTCCCATTTGAATTGACAATTTCTTGGTGGAAAATTCAAGCCAATTTTTAAAAAAATGAATTTCAATGAAATTTCATTTCGCTAAAAGTGAATTGTAATTCCCCTTGAAAAATCAACCTTTTTTCGGGGGCTGTGTATGCAAAGGGCGAGAACTATAATCCGAGGATTCGAAAAGAAACCTTGAAATTCGGCTCCTAATATATTCATAACCTCGAGTTTTTACATTTTTAATTTTTTACAAGAGAGCGTTTCTGCGGATTCCTGTTAAAAGTTTAAGAAATTTGCTTTCAACTGTCCAAAAATTTCACGGAAAAAATGAGATTAGGGCTGGGCACTAGAATTGCTTCACCTCATACCCCACAGGGGCAGGCCCTGCGCGGGTAAGCCCTACCTGGACAGGGTACAGCCCTTACCAAGTAGGGCTGAACCCTGAAGCAGGTAGGTTTGGGCTCTACCCGCGCCGGGCCTGCTCCTGTGGGGTATGAGGTGAAGCAATTTTACCTACCCGGTTAGAGCTTGGACCTTCCGCGCAGGCACCAGCCCTGAACTCGTTTTTTCTGTGTTTGCATAAACATACGCACAGCCGTTTTCGTGTAAAATATTAAATTTTCCAGTTGAATTTGGCAATAGCTGATGTGGTTTGGTTCATTTCCGCTTGAACGCTGTCCTTTTAACAGTATTTCATGTAATTTTGCATCCGTGGTCATACCCTTAAAACTCGACGAAAGCGCAATAACTACATGACTTTTCCTCTCGAAAAAATTAATACGTACTCGTGTCTGAACTGGACTGCGCCAAGCAGAAAGGAACCCAGCTAGCCAGTGGCGTGGCGTGAATTGCGATATATCGACTGTTATACCATTTAATCTATGGAAAAGGATCGATAAACAGGGTTTTCGCAGCGAACACCGTAATAATCGATTCTTTACCATAGGTTTAAATGGCATAACAATCGATATATGGCAATTCACGCCACGCCACCGCCAGCCACATCCGCTATTGCCAACATTGGGCAGTTTCATTTTGACATGGAAAAGGTTGTAAGGATTTTCGTGCAAATTTCCGTGAATTTTCTGCAGTACAAAGCAAATTACTTGAGATTTTCAAAGGAATCCG